TCGTATCCCGAAACTATAGATCTCGCGTACGAAACGCTAAACTGGACTGCAGTCATCGACATTTGCAATTTATAACGCCCGCCCCGCACTACAATTACGCCTGTCCCTCTACATAAATTTCCTACCCGCACTCGACTCTACGACCGCCTTTCTCGTATTTATCGGCTCGCCGGTTCACTTTTTATTATTTTTAGTGGTGCTCTGAGGAAAGCAGAACTACACTACACCCTCCCCCATATTCACTTAGTTTATTTGTCGCCAGATTTGTTCAGTTTCCGTACATATTTTCTTATGTAAATTATATTTAGTATTAATAAATCAACAACTCAAAAATATAACTAACAAAAAAAACAATAGTAAGTTTCCTATGTGTTCTTCCAGACTACCCTCTCCATCTATACCAAATTTCGTCGAAATCCGTGCAGCCTACAGGCTGCAAACTCTTACAAACATCCATCCATCCATCTAAACTTTCGCATTTATAATATTAGTATGAAGTATGATTACTTACTTATGTAAGTTTGGAAAACAAATTCACGTAATGCGTAAAACGGACTAAAAACGTTTTAATAATTATAATCATTTTATTATGTGTATTCTAAATACATTTCTCGTGTCTTTTAGATATTAGAATGTGTTATACTTTACATTGTTTAATTATTTTTTTCAATAAGATTAGGTAAATTTCAACACTAACTTCCTTTGCAGTCCAAAACTTTTTCACAATCCATGATGTAACCTTCGCAATAAACCAATCTCGAAGTACCGCATTACGGTAGACACAAACTAGCACAAATATTACATTCATCCACACGGAATTTAAACAGTTCGCTAATAAAAAGCTTGGACAGTCGACATCAAACCATTCAACGTATAGCTATATTTATAAAAAAAATTGTATTTTTATTAAAATCAATAACAAACTATAGCTTCATTTATTTATTGTTTTTCTTTTCGTTTCACATGGCTCAGGATAGTGTATATCTCAAACTAATAGATAGAAGAGACTGAAAAGTACAGCATATTGGAATTTAAAAACAAATGACTCATGTTCTATATTTTTGAATTGCAATTCGAAATTGTAGTCTAATCAAAAAATAACCAAACCATGGTCATGTAATTGATACACTAAAAAAACTGTAACTCGATTACCCATTTCCCAGCTGTTATCGAAATCTTCGACTAAAAATCCCGTTATCCAAAGCCAATCAGCTAATGGACATTGCTTTACCTTCTCGTTCAGTAAAATTAAAAAAAAAACGTGTAGTTTTAAAAAATAAACAGGAAACACATTTACGTGCAATACATTCTTGCTTTGGGGGCAGTGCATTCAGGATTCATGCACATTTACCAAAATAAATATTAGAAAATCATAACCAGATACGAATGCATTTTATTCAAAATTCCATTACATTAAAACCTTTTTAGGCGGACAAAAAAATGTATTCAACTAATGCTTTCGTATTACTGGCCGTTCAACATTTAGATTTTAAAAATAAATACAATAAGATAGCATTACGTGAAACATAATGTGAATTGGCTCTGATTAAAAAAAACGAATTTCAAATATTACATTCGAAAAGCAATTGTTAAAACAAATTCTTTGTTACCTTTTTGTGGTTTTTGCCATAACTTTATATTCCACGCAATAAAACAACAATAATACTAATTTACATTTAGATACGAGGGTATTATCAACATTAACAGTTAGTGAAAAAACATCCAAACACCGAAAGTGGCAAGAAAAAGGGTGAAGGTAGAAAGATAAAATAAAATAACACGAGGGGACAGAAAACATCGAATAGGTATATTTTTTAGAACATCGATGCGGTCACCCGCGCTCACCGCCCTGGTATTTTGGGAACCTTTCGAATGGTACTTTTCTTTTTTTAAATGACACTCAAATCTTATTCAATTTCCTTTAAAAAATTTAAAAAATCTGGTTTATGTGCACTATTTTTAACGGATTTTCATAATCATCGACGATCGCGTTTTTAATTTAAATTTTAATTTTTTTCTTGAGAACTCTTAAAATGGTAGCGATAATAAACTTTTTTGTTTTTCATTTTTATGGCTTTATAGAATTAAGGTTGCATCTTAATCTTGAATGCATTTGAATTATTTTTACGCATTTAATTTTATTTTAAAAGATTATTTAACAAAGGTATTCCAAATTTAAATATTTGACGTTTGAAATTTTAAAATTAGAATCAATTTGAAGGCACCAATGACTGGAGTGCTGAATAGCTTGAAACGCAAAGCTTCAGCTGAGCGGAAATGCTTCAAGCCTGTTCCGGCCAGTATTCAATTAGGTTTGTTCTTCAGATGTGCTTTCGTTGCGTTACGATACAACGACTTGATTTCACTCGATTAGACTTGGCAACAGATAGAGTCGATTCAGGATTTTGTTGTTTCAGATGAATTCTTGATTTGATAGTACTAATGTTATATTTTTTTAATAGACGGCTTTGATTCTTTTGTTCATATTTTATTAAACCCTTACAGGATCAAAAGATGGCTGAGGCATTTTTTTTTTTAATTTGATTTTGACGCAATAAAGTTTGACGGTTTGTTTTTCTAATCGTTCAGAAATACATTTGCCGCCTTAGACATACGTTTTATTTTTTAAAGTAAATATCGATGCAATAATAATTCAATAATCGATAACAAATTTTGTAGAAGGGAAAAATATTTCCCTTGAGCGTAAAAGGTTTAACATAGGAATTTAGTCTTTAAATTTAATGATTGTTTTTTTTAGGTTCGAATTTTTTAAAAAACTTTATAAAAAGTATGTACCATGATCTTGTCAAAGCAAGTTGTTATTACATGTTTCAATATGTAAAGACAAAATTAAGTTAACAATTGTTATTAAATTCTCGTCATATGAATGTTTTCGAGTCTTTTCCCAAATGACATAAAACAGATACATTAAAAACTAACTGCGAAAGCCGTAAAAGTCTAACTAAATTAGTTTTGTAGACGAAATGACTGGAGCTAACTGGATGAGAGCAAAACTTATTACAATAAATCCAATGATATTGTACATTTTGTGACACTTTTAAAAGACAAATGAAGGGAGCAGAAAACTAATGTTAGGTGTGACCTTTGCTGTTATCGGTCTATATATATATATATATATATATCGGTCTTTTAAAAAAATGAGTGGAATAAAACTAAGCTTTATATCATTGATAGGATATGCAGAGATGAAAAATTTGTTTAAACATGAAATGCAATAATTCAGAAGAAAATTACTTCGTACTGTCTTTACTTTAAAAATTACAGAAGACAAAAGCTTCTCAGTTTAGGATATCGTTCATCACACGTAGTGTAAATACTTCTTTCGATTAATCGATGTCTTTTAATCGATTAACTTTGTTACGTTATTTGGTACAGTTATGACCATTGTGCAGACTATTCCCAAATTACGAAATGAATTTTCGCAAATAGATATCGGCACTCGTAGTCTGGGATTCGATGCGCCATTTCTGGATTTAAAAATTGTTAGTAGCCATACTCTCCTGTAATATCAGGACAAGAATGAAGTGGTAATGACAAATTCAAAAATCGATTAATTTTTGGGATTACAGTTTTTGATGTGAAAATACGATAACCATAATACGTAGATCTCAATCTCTAAAACTGATAAAAAATAAACCAATTACGATAAATTTACTTAAAATAATATAGCCATTAAATAATCGACATTTAAAAAGTTATAAAAGAAAATAAGTGTTTCGAAATGGGTAAAAGATTTTTACAAGGATATTTGTTGAATAATATTAAATATTTGAACCGTATAATAGTTTAAATGGAGTAATGCAATAAGTCATTAAACAGAAGTGGGGTTTATCGTCTAGAAAGGCATAAAAAGGCACCTAATGTCTCTATTCAACTGCAGATAGTCGGAATGGGCGGCGTTACTCTATGCCGTATTTCGCCTGCACTACCCTTCGCATCTTCGCTTCCCAAACCATATCGATTTACTATCTACTTAATACGTTACGTTGTTTCTTTTTAATCTTTCGATTCAATTACTCTTTTCAATTGGAACATAGATTATAAAACTATTACATAGATTATAAATAATTTTCATTACAGAGTATATTAGATTATGAAATAAAAAGTAGTTTAGTAAAGATATTAACTAATATAGTTAATTCAAATAGATGTATTAAATTATATTCCAATACAAATATTATTATGAACTGTAAAATCTTAATTAAAATTATTAGAGTATTGGTAAAATTGAAATTCGATGTTATATAATTTAAAAAATGTCTCCAAAATTATAAAATAATAATAATAGATATATTTCTGTGCTATATTAAATCGTTAATTAAATAAGAAAATTAATCTGAAAGTCTTAATTAACGTTTGAAATTCAAATTTAGAATACGTCTTAAGAAAAATAAACAGCTACGAGAGATGCAATTTTAGATCAGTTTTGGTCGCAAAGGTCAATTGGTCATTTATTTGTCTTTTATTTTGGTGAAAGCAATATCAGTGAGTGAGTAATGAAATTGCCTGTATTTTCAGCTTGACTTTGACAAGATCAATTCGGTTTATACAATCTGTGCCGCAGCCGTCACCGAGCTGCTCTGTTCGCGAACTTCTCAAACTTTATCGATCTGTTTACAAACTTTTGCAACGAACAACATTTACCATTTCCACTGATTTAATACGATACTATTACAATTATATTTTTTATTAAAACCTTTTTACTGATAAACCTCGCATTTAATACTGGCACATACAGCCACGTGCTTTTTTTATGAAATTTTGTTTTTTTACAGTACCTTTGGACAGCGACAAAGTTCCCGACCAGCCTACCACATCAGACATCACGTGCGATCCACATCGATCGTACGGCAAAATCGGTACGTCCCGAAAATACCCGGGCGGCGACGCGGCGTAGGCAAGCGACATTAGCCCACAACATCTGTTAATATCATCATTGTTAATTACATATGGGTTTGTTGTTAATATATTGTAGCCACCTGTCCCGAGGAGGGCGCTTGCAGGTACGTCGCTACGTCGTCCACCATGCAGGCTCGCGGGAGTTCGGGGAGGAACATAATACGCTAGAGGGCGCGCATATCGCGTGCGGGCTGCGCGGCGCCCCGCGTCCGACTGTCGCGAGCTCGGCGCCCTCGCCCCGCGCGCCCCTGCCGCGCCGCGCTGCGTCGCCCTCCCCGCGCCCTCCGCGCGTACCACCGCGCGCGCAGGGCTGTGCTATACGAGCTTTTCCGACTTTTTCATGTTTCGCATTTTGAAAGACGTAGAATTAAGACGCGTTCACACTGCGCTATTGATAACATAGTCACAAATTCTACGCAAATTATTCGTTAAATACTGGCATAGTACAACTAAATAATCGTAATGCTTCTAAAAAGTCATATCTTTCATTGAATGTTGACAAAAACACTACTAATTCTATGATGTTTTTCTTCTTTTGATTCTTTATTCAATGCGGTTTACTTCATTTCATTTAAAAGAGATTCTACATCATTTTAATCTGCAAATATTAAAATATTATTAAGTATATCAACAACTTAAACAAGTATATTAATATGTAAGTAATTTATGATATCTAGTTTCCTACTAAACAATAATTTATAAAAATTAAATCAAAAGCCGTTTAATGCACGTGTATTAGAAGCGTTCGCAATAAACGTCGCAAGTTTTCCGCATCGCCAGCCCTCGGCGCGTCCGTCGTAATGCATTCGCTCGCAGCGTCTCGGCGCCGCTCGGACCCGATCGGTACGCGCTCGGTCCGCCTCGGGAAGCTCTTTCAAATTCAGAACACAGACATGACAACTGCACTCACGTTCCAAATTCGACCAAAAGTTTAGAGTTGTAAGATTGAAATTAAATAATCAAGCAAAAGTCACATTTTGATAGTTGAAAAGTAATTGAATTTCAACTTTATTCCACAAGTATTAAAGAGAAAATTGAATTGCTTTAAAAAAATTCGAGTGTCGTATTCGAATTTTGAAATATCCTAATTTATCTAACATTGTAGCAAGCGAATATGAACTTTCAGTCCATCTGTTATTGCTTAATATTGCTTGCATTTGTTTTTCAGCTGACGCGTACGTAAATGTCACGGAAGTTTGCTTATGTGGAGCCGCGTGCGTGTGTGAGTTAAAAACACATCTTGGGCGGACCGTAGCATAGTTTAGGCGGATTTCTTTTTTCTTGTTCCCTTTGACCTATCTTTTTAGGGTTCAACTTTAGCGGTTTTTTTATTATTAAACAACAAATCGGTAGAGTATTAAAATGTCCTTGATTTTGGTTAATATTCGTGGTAAGTGTAAAAGTTTTATTTTTTACTAGCCTTCGTCTGCGACTCCGTTCGCGTTGGATTAAAAAAAAAACGAATATGATTAGCCTATGTGGTCTTCCAGACTATCTAAATGTATGCCAAATTTCAGCAGTTTAGGCTACAAGCTGTACCAAAACATCATCCAACCATCTAAACTTTCGCATTTATAATATTAGTAAGATGAGAAATGTGGAAATCTAAGGGTCAACAATAAAAAAAAACTGCTATTTTTCTACATACTTAAAGTATAAATATAAAAAAATAGCTTTCTTCTACAAAATACTAAAAAAATCTACAAGACTTGTAATTTTAAACATACAGGATGTTTGTAAAACTTGATCCTATTCTTCAGGGTGTTATTATCGTAGTTAACTTCACAGTGACGTCATTACCATCACAAACCCTGAAGGATTAAGCATGGTGGGTCGCGGGCGCAATACGGCGCGCCTGATAATTTATTAGCGAGTGATTACTGCTGGGGAGGCTGTGCCGCGACTTGTACACTACACAGAGTAGCTATAAAGAGACGTGTTTTATTTAATTTTAAATCGATTTTTTTTAGTATTGATCTATTTAAATTATAAAGTTACCTAGTTATTAGGAGATACTCTGCATCTTTGTGTTTTATAACTGAGAAAATAATTTTTGTACCAATCATTGCATTTAAATGTGTATCCAGTCATTAATAACACTTAGTATTACTTTTTAGTTGTAATATTTTTAGAATTGTAGCTACGCATTTTTTAACAAAAGCATAAAATTATGTGAAGAGTAAAATATTTGATTATACATTGAAATGTCTGACAGTCGCGTAGTCTGTACACAATCAGAGAGTAGTAAATCTAATATAGCACAAACTGGGAGTCTCAGAACCCAGTCGTATATTATATTAGGCTACGACCAGAGCTTAAATAATTCACGTTGTTCTGTGCACTCAACTTAACTGCGCATTTGATCTGCACTTAATATTTACTTGCAGTTGTACAATTTTACAGTTTACATAAATTTATTTTATTCAATTACGTTATTTTATTTATTTATTTATTTTATTGATTACAGCGAACTAGCTTCACCTAGGTGGGAAAGAATCTAAATCTTGTATCTTTTCTGTCATATCTATTGATCTATGTTTTGATTAGAAGTAGTGTACAGACAGAAGTATAGAATACATGTATATTTTTTTCTTTTTGTTCATTGCACATATTATGTGTTTTTAATTTTACATGATTTAAATAAATAAATAAAAAAATAAATATCTATACTCTTCCTGGTGGTTAGTTATATTAAGTTATAGCTTATTTTGTTCAGTGATAATGTAGCTTTTTAACAGCGAAACATTATTCAAAATCGGTTCAGTAGTTTCGGAGTCTATTCAAATAAATCATTTCTCTTTACAATTTCAGTGTAGACAATTTACATAAATTTTTAAAATGTAGAGATAATTACATTTTTAACCGTAATCAAGTTTCTAAGGCGTTTTATTTCACTCTATTAAATATAATTTCTCTTTTTATATCCTTAGGGTGAGTTGCATCAAATCGTCGGTTATCGTAAAAGTTATAATAGGGTTACAAGTGCAAAAACATATTCTTACAGAGGTTTCATGTGTTTTTCGTTTTTACAATGGAAACATTTAAACCTGAATGTCACTAAAGTGTCAAGTTGGTGTCAAGAATGACATTTACGTAAATTAAAATGTTTGGAAATTCATGTTTCGCCGATTACATTTATGTATCATACGCATGGTATTTTATAGTGACATAAACTTTTTGCCCACGGAGATGGAGAAAATGGCACTCTTGAGAAAATAAACTAGTTTGGGCCATTATTGAAACTGTATTTACTTTACTACTCAAATATGTAGCGCCAAAAATGAAGCAATAAAATTATACAAATATAAATGCATCTTATTTATTTTCCATATTATAAATTGTCCTGTCAATACATATTATAAATTGTCCTTTTATGGAGGACATTTTTTTAAATAAGAGAAAAGGGACAAGCGCTGTTGCTATGGCCTTAGACACTCGAAATTTGTCCAAACTGAATGTTTGGCCAAATTTCGAGTTCCACCTTGGAAATCCATTATTTCCGAGCACGCAAGACTTTATTCTTCTGGATTACGTATAGGATAATTGTAGAGATTTTCTTTCTCCATTACTTTTTCCATTATTTGTACTTTTGAAGATAAGAGCTTGTGACAGTTGACACTACCGAACTGACACTAACCGTAACGCTAACTATAACCGCCCAAAATCGTGCGGTTATGATTAGTGTCAAATATGACGTCATTTTGACCAGCGCAAAACTGGTGTAGCGAATATCATGAACATCCGCAGACGTAACCATCGGGAATGTGCTGGTTAAGGTTTATAGTTAGTTAATGTAACTCACCCTTAGTAAATTTTAAGGTTATTCCAAATATTACCGTTACAGATAATTTTAACTTTAACGGTAACCGGCGATATGGTGCAACCCACCCTTAAAGTATCAGAATATATTTTATCTTAACATTTGAACAGCGAACACAAAAATATTCAAACAAACGTCACCAACAAGACAACAAAACTACCCCCTCCCCTCCGCAACCCCGCGCCCCGCAACCCTCACACCCTGCGGCGCCGATACAGCCCGTTAGTCTTTTTAATTTCGCCCCTCGGCCTTTATGCGCGATAGCCCGCCTTATCAACATCGTTTGCTATTACAAAATACACCCATAAATTGAGCACACAGCCTTTTTCTATTTGTCATTTGTACACTGATATGTATGCATTGAAGTTTTTTATTTATTAAATTGTTGAACAGTTGAATTGACTGCGAAACAATCGACAATCGCACAACAAAAGTGTGCGCCCGCTCTAAGCCAAATTAAATCTTAAAATCTACTTTTTTACATTCTGCTATATTTTATGAAGATATCAAATTCCATTACAATTATGTTGATGGTCGGCAGCGACTCTTCTGGCGCGATTTTTTAACCTTTGAGCTTATATTCCAGACAGAAATTCGAGATCTCTCCAGCAGGCTACAAACTCTAACAAACATCCATCCATCTATTCTATAAGAAAGAAGTTCGTTTATTGAAAAAAAGACAAAGAATTCTTTCGGCATATTCTGCGGTGTAGCCGGTGTTCAGTGAATCCTAAAACAGAACATAGGATTGTACAGAAGAGAAAAAGAAATTACAATATGTCGTAGGTAAAAAGTTCATTTTAGTTTTATATTTTGTTCTGAAAAAAGACATAAACGATTTAAATATTAAGCTTCGAAAAAGCTTAAAAATAACACCGAAGTATGCAACTGTATGTGTATGTTGCAATTTTCATATCGTTTTAGTAAATTTTTATAAGCGATTTATTGTAGTTATGTGAAAACGTGGCATTTTTAAAAGTTACACACCTTAAGCCTTAAAACTGCGATGTTCGCACTGCGCGGCTACATCAAAAGATAATCGGAAGGAGGCCACAGAGTTATGAACATTCAGACATGTATTGAGATAATTTTAACAATAACACCGAAGTACATAACTACAGTTGTTATAAAATAAAATTCAGTGTAAAAATAAACAGCCTTTTTATATTTTTTAACTCTATAATTATATTGAATTAATTTATAACTCAAACGATCATAATTGTTTAAGTTTTAATGCTAAAAAGTGCCGCACTATTTTGTCACAAATCAAATATATTTCAATTTAAATGCACAGTTGAACATGACATAAATTCCAGTCTTAAATACTTAGAAAGCTCAACGAAAAAAAGTTGGTTATTTTTCACCAGATCCATTAAGTTTG